AAAACAGAGAAGCAGAGCTTGGTCTCGAGAAAAGCGCATCCCATCCTTGATGGCGGAGCCAGCTCCCAGCGCTTTCAGGTTCCAGAAGAGCATGTGTAAAACAAAACTTGCTTCTTCTTAGCTTCAGTTTTCATTAAGAAATCCAAATAAGGGGCGCCTGGGAGACTTAGTGGGTTAAGCGTCTGCCTTCAGCTCAGGTCATGATCTCCGGGTCCTGGGATCGAGTCCCACGTGGGACTCCTTGCTCACGGGGGAGCCAGCTTCTGCCTCTTCTTTTCTCCCGGCTCATGCTCTCTCAAATTAGTAATTAATTAAAATAAAATCTTTAAAAAGAAAAATCTAAGCAAACACAGGTTTAGGCCTATGGAATTTGGGGAGCAAATGACTTAAAAGGAGGCTAGCCAAAAGCAGGCAGTGTTCTTGTGTCAACAATACCTTTCTAAAACCGTCTCTTTCTGCCCATTTGTGCACTGAAATGAACATGTCCCCTGGGGGAGCTCGTGTTGGGACAGACCCTCCCCACCATGGGGCATTGCTGCTGGAGCAAAAGCTGTGACCGTCTTAAGACAGAGGCTGCTTGGGCTGAGCTCCATCTGCGTGCCCAGCAGGTCCAGGCTCCTCCCTGTCAGGGCCCTGTTGAGATGCAGATCGTCGGGGTGTATCTTCTAATAGAGAACCATGGGTTTGGCAGAGAAATCCCACCAGGCCAACTGATGTTTGGTTCAGAATGCAGGGGCCATGTCTCCCAGCTTGTCCACTTCCCGGTGGCACTGCCCAGCCCACACAGGGCCACTGCTGGAAGCCATGCAACTGGCCCGTGGCTTTCATCTGTTTTTCTTAATTAGGGCCTGTAGGCTTTCTCTTTCATTGTGAGGAAGGCTTCCTCTGGGCCCTTCACAACATGAGGGAGGTACTGGGAGGGGCTGAAGGCACACAGCAGGTGTTTTTCTGTTCTGTGACTGAATACCGAGCCCCTTTCCATAGGACCCTTGCCGGGATCTGGGGCTGCCTTGTAGAGGGGAGAGAGGGAGAGTGGGGAGAAGGGAAGATACCACTTAAAGAGGACACACTATAGCATGACCTTTTCCCGCTGAGTTCTGAGGCTGGGAACCCTGAGAAGGGGGGTCCCCTGCACCAACCTCTGGCCTTTGGTGGCCCTTCTCCTGTCGGAATTTGGATTCCAGGACCCTGCGCAATCCCTAGCAGAGCCTTGCAGGACACCTATCTGCTCTGGGCCCGGAGGGCTTGATTCCGCCTGACTCACACGCCCAGAATCCTCTCCTCCCCATTCCCTGCCCTAGTCACAACGATAGGTACCTGTTGGTTTGGCTTTTTTCTTCTTCTTCCTTTACCCCCTCTTTTACACCAAGGAAATAGAATGGGGTGGCTCAGTGGGTTAAGCCTCTGCCTTCAGCTTAGGTCATGATCTCAGGGTCCTGGGATCGAGCCCTGCATCGGGCTCTCTGCTTAGCAGGGAGCCTGCTTCCCCTCTCTCTGCCTGCCTCTCTGCCTACTTGTGATCTCTCTCTCTGACAAATAAATAAAATCTTTAGATACACACACACACCCCTTTAGAAAATTACGCAAAAAGTTGCCATTGATGGATTCTGGGTGGTGGTGGCTCATAACAAACTCATTTGTTCCCTTGTCATCCCTCTGCCTGCTGGTATGGGCCCGGCTCCTTCTCCTGTAGGCTGTTTCTGTAACTGCAGAGGTAACCAGTTTGGGGCAAGCCCTTCCTGGAGTTCCAGGATGTTTGAAAGCAGACGAAGCGTGGTTGTTGTCTGCAGATGTTTAATGCCGGACACCCCCGGCCTGTTTTCCACATGTGAACACCAGGCAGGGGCTGGCCCCATGCACATGTGTGGCTCTGGAGCCCTGTGCAGCCTGTCTCCACCTGCCGCGGGCCCCAGCCGCAGAGTGGAAGGCGGCAGCTGGGGAGGAGGCCGGGCTCCCCAGCTGCTCCCGGCTGTTTGGGGACGGGCAGACGTGTGGGGGACGGTTAAGATAAGCAGCAGAGCCCCTGCACACACTGTTCTGTTTGAAAACAGTGAATCCCACCCCCCGCGCCCCAGAACAAAGGAACAGCGGGTAAAATAAGGAAACTGCCCTTGTGACCTTTGACTTATTTATGTACCAAATGCTCCTTTAATGCTCACCATATGCCAGGCACGGTCCTAAGTATATTGCTTTAGAAGTCGGAATTCAGTTATGCTTCAGCACGAGCTTTAGAGCTGGTTGGTAGTGTTGGCCCGTGTTACAGGTGAGGAGCCTAAAGATCAGAGAGGTGACATCCCTTGCCGGGGTCCCAGAGCTTGTCAGTAGCAGACCAGGGCCAGCACAGCCCGTCTTGATGTGAAGTCCCGCTTGTATTTCTTGTAGTGGAGCTTCCCGTGTCTTTCAGAATTATGTTAGTTTTTGTCTGGTTTCACAAGAGGCCTTTCTTTAGAAGATATATGTAATCCATACATGTAATCCATACATCCATCCATTATAAAAACTACGTTATGCTGTCCTCCATTTTCCGAGCACTTACTGTGGGCAGGCTCTCCTGTGTCTGATGTTCTCTAGATGTGAATTCTAATTCTTAAACTGCGAGGAAGAGATTTGTGCCCATTTCAGAGACGAGAAAGTGGATGACGGGAGCTGGTCACCCAGCTGACATGCGCGAGACGTGAACCCAGGTCTACACACACCTCTTTGTTACAGGACAGAATTAAGTACAAGCAGGTCATTTTTGAGCCCCCACCCAGGGGACAGTTACCCAGAGCACCCAGAGGACCTTGTAGCACAGCAGTGCCTGGAGCAGGTGGCCCAGGTAGCCAGGGAAGTGCATCCTCACTCGGATGGACTGTGTGGTCCCCCAACCTGCCCCACTAGGGGCTGGATGCCGCATGGTTTCCAGGCGACTGTGTCCACAGCATCAAGCCCTCGGGGTCTGGCTCCTTTTGATCCAGTGGAGTTTTGAAGTTTTATCTTCTGCTGGGCTTCATTAAGCCTCCCTTGGTCTGAGCACCACCCCCCACCCAGTTGTAAATGTTGCATGGTTCCTGGTATTCAGGTTCACAGATTAGCCCAATTAGATGGGTAAATTAGTCATTCTAACTTTCTGAAGTCCTGCTGGAGGAGCTTTGTGAAATAGCATTTATAGTTTTCTAACAAGCAATTTAAAGGACACCAGCATGTGGCATTTGTTTAAGAGCAAAATGTCCTAAACAATGCCCTACTTAAAAACAGATCTCGAAATTTGCTCACAGACTCGGAAACATGGCCGAGGACACCCCTGCCTTGTCTCGTACAAACCTTTCCGAACTGGGTCTCTTCTTTCTGGGGGCTACAGCCGAACACGGCGGAGTTATGGAAACCCACATTTAATTCCAAAACCTCCTTTTACCAAATTGGTTTTTTCTGTACCACCAAGAGTTTCTAAATGGGTTTCAAAACCCGTTTCAAGACCGCCCCGAATTCCATCTGAGTGGTAGATGGTGGAGAACCAGCAACTCAAAGGAGGTCGAAAGGGACCCCTCGGATTGCTGCTGGCTTTAGCAGCCAGGAAGCAGACAGGAGAGAAGCAGTACCCCCAATTAGCCAACTGAAAGTTCGTAAGCTCTTGAACCTCTCCGGACTCGGTTTCCTCGTGTTCAGGGAAGTGACAGTCCTCCCCACCTCCCAGGGCCGCTGGCCTGTTGCATGAGATGATGCATGGGATGTGCCCGAAACACAAGAGGCAGTCAACTTGAGGTCCCTTCCTTCCTTCCTAGGTCCTTTTAAGTGTTCGCTTCAGGGGCCAGCGTCCTTGTGCCTGGCTCAGTGGGCTCTTGAAACAATCTTATTAATGCCTATTAAAATGAAACCCAATAAAAATGCCAATATTTGGTGTTGAAATAATTGATGTAGCAGAGACAGACCACGAAGCACCCAGGCAGGCCCCTGGTGCCATTTAGCCTCACACCTGGGGGATGAATTTCACAACTGTAATTGCTACCATATAATTCTTATTAATGTTGTGCTATAATTCCTATTTATTCCACGGGGCTTGTAAATGCATTAAGACTTGTCAACATATTATTTTACACTGTTTATGATCTGTAGAATTAAGTCCTTCAGGGTTGTATTGTGCAAGAGCTCAAAATAAATGGCTTTGGGCCTCATTAAAAAAAGAGCAAAAAAGCGGCTGCTTGTCAAAGTGGTTCTCCATCCCCACCATCCTTAACAGAAGTCCATGGAGTCAAAATTTTTAACTCCATTCTGAGCAGAGCTCTTAAGCTTGGGAATACAAGTGAATCCTCTCCTCCAATCTGAGCTGGGATGGGGCAGCCCGCCCTCCCAGGGAATGCTGGGTATAGCCAGGGAGACAGGTGTCCGTCCCTGGTGACAGACATGGTCGGAGTTACTTGGCCTTCCGTGAGCTGGAACCTGGTATTCTGACCATGAGTTTGGCTCAGAGCCTCAGGATGTCTGTCCCTGCTGCCCCCGAGCTTGGGGTAAGCCCCTTTTAGTTCCAAAATTTCTCATGGTCTTCTTAGCTTTAAAGAAAAAGATTTGAGAGGAATTCCCACCGAAATGCAGATACCAGATAAGTGTAGAATATTTAATCCCCTCCCACAGACTTTTGCATTTACTAGGCCGATGTGCATGAAACTCTGGGGACAGACTCCTGTGCACCGGCATGTCAGACACAGCGTGTCTGTGTCGGGGCAGGGGTGTCCATCAGCCTTGGTTATCTGTGGTTTGGGTTCCAGAGGCTATGCAGCCCCTCTGCGGTGACACACTGGCCTGCCCCAGTTTCCACGCTCTTGCTCAGCGAATTCCCAGCCCTGCCTGAGCCCTAGAGAAACCCTTCGTCTGGCCTCTGCCCCCAGGGTGGTCCCTTTGTGCCTAGGAGCTGCCCATCTGGTCACTGCCGTTCCTTCTGCCCTGGGGGATGCAGGGGGTGCACACTGGAGGGGACCAGGGGCCAGGGCCGCTGCTGACTGTCCTTGCTCTTCTCTGGCCCCACAGGCAGTGAGTACGATGAGGAGGAGGTGGATTACGAGGAGTCGGACAGCGATGAGTCCTGGACCACGGAGAGCGCCATTAGCTCTGAAGCCATCCTCAGCTCCATGTGCATGAACGGAGGCGAGGAGAAGCCTTTTGCCTGCCCAGTTCCCGGATGCAAAAAGAGATACAAGGTAAAAGCAGGACCGCCTCACCTGGCATTAACTGCATTCACTGTGCGGAAAGGGGCAGGCCTACACTGGGGAGCGGCCTCTCGCTTCTGACGCCTTCCTCTCCTGGGCCCTCCATGCGTCTGGTCTTCGCGGAGACACGGGCCTGGGGGACAGGCAGGCCCCTGGTTTCTGGGGGTTTGGTGGGGCTTTCCCTTTTGCTGATCCAGGTGGGAGCTCTAGGTCAAAAGAAGGGTTTGGTGGCAGGATCGTGTCTTTGATGTTCTTCAGACTCACGTCCTATCAGATATCAAAGTGTGTCGCCCATATATTTGCCATACTTCCCCAGTGTCGGCTATGCAGGTGGCTCACAGAGGATGACCTTGAAATCTTCAAAGGGGTAGACGTAGGGTTCTCAGCTTTCAGCAGAGGAAGCTCTTGCTCCCTTCCCCACAGCCCCACCACTGGCATGAAAAGACCAGGAGAAAAGGGGACTTTGGTATTTTTCTCACCAAACCTCCCACTTCAGCTCCCTGTCCGTAATAGTGGACACAGAACCCGTGTCTTTGAGAGGCTGACTGGGTGTCAAGAGCGGCCAGGGACACTAAATTTTCTGTTAAGAAAACTCAAAGGAACAAAACAATGAAAGAGACAACAACATTCAAGGGTCGGTCCAGAGGGCAACTTAAAAAGCAAATGTGCACGCTTTCTCCTGAGGCGTTAGCAACTCTTTTAAACTCCAACTGGGAGACAGAAAAATCAGGAACCGACGTGGTACATTTGACGATATGCTAATTTACGCATAGCTCAGCAGACTGACTTTTTTTAAAAAGACTTGAAAGATGTGTCGTATTAGAGGCATTTCTCATAATGCATCAGAAACATGCATATGTTTCTGAACACTAAACAAAACAAACCAAACAAAAAACCCTATTTCAGTATTTTTTGTACCAGCTGCTGATCTAAAAGTGGCCAGGGCTTTGCCTACGGAAACTAGGCGACCACGTTCTCATGGAATCTCATGGGAAGTCTGAATGTGCTGTTTAAAACCAAGACACCCTGGCGGAGGTGTGAGGATCCCCTTGGGGCACGGGAGCTGCTGGGGCAGAACGGGACCCAGAGTGGCACGCGTCCGTTTAGTGTGTCAGGGATTTCTGTCAGGGACATGGAAGGCGGAGAGGAGGAAAGGCAACCAGGTGGTTTCTTTGGGAGGCCGGAAAAGCATAGGGATTGCCAGACAAGCTCGTTTTGCTGGAAGGTAGACCATACATTGCAGAGTTCTCCTTTTCTTTTTTTTGGTTTTGTTTCAAAGTAGAGAAAGCTAGACGAAGAGTTTTCTATCCTTGATTCCTGCCTGCTCACCAGATGCCACGTCTCTCCCTGCGGCTTCACGGAGCCGTTCCTCGGGGCTGGGCTGTCTGCTGCCTTCTCTCAAGCATCCAGACGCTGGTTTAAAGGAGGTCATGCACGTCCACTATGTTGAAGGAGGGAGCAGATAATGACCCAGACTGAGGCTGACCCAAAACAGGGGGGGTTGAGTGAAGGGGAGAAGCCACAACCTTTATTCTGGCTGAAGAGGCGGCACTCCCTCCTTCCTCACAGCCTTCCCCAACCACCCCCCACCCCGGTCACTTGTTTGCTTGTCATTAGTCTTTTGCTGTTGTTTTTCCTGGGTTTCCAGCAACTTCTCCTGCAGTTGTCTACATCTGGGTTGATGGGGACTTGAGTGTTCTTTCTGCATTGAAGGCCAAAAGAAAACTGAGCGAGGCCTGGGCTGTGGAGGCTGCCTTCTTCAGCACCATCAACTGACAAATGACATGGTCACCAATTGGTGGTCCCGGTTTCCATGAGGGAAGTGTGAGTTTCCTTTTCTGGGCCAGCATGCCTAGTCATGCATGATACAGGGGACAAGGACAAACATGTAACCAATCCTCCTGAACTGCTGGCTTGAGAGGAGTGTGGTCATGTTCCCTAGTATGACCTTTCTGCTGGGAAGTTACTGGCCACAGGAAAGTGGTGTTCCCTCGTGCTAACTACTGCATCTTACGGACTGCGGGATTGCTGGACTGGGTATTGGTTTGAGGAAGGGCTAATGAGCTGGTGTGCTATGGGTCAGGCAGAATCCAGAAGTGCCGCCATGTTGTTTATGAGCCAGGGCTCACTTCAGACTTACCTCACTCCTTGCCCACCACTGGCCTCTTGGGCACAGACTCCAGATCAGCTCATCTCACCATTTCTTGGCATTTGCAGAAGCAGGAGATGAGGTTGTCTAACTTTCCAGACTTCCTAATGAGTAGGGCAGGAGAGAGGGGCCCAGTAGGACAGCTAGTCTCCATGCTGTTTCCCTTATTAGTCCCTCTGCCTAGGATGCCCCCTTCCCCTCCACCATCAGTACCTCTCATTTGAATTCCTTTCTCGCAGCACAGCTCAAATGCCACTTCCTCTGGGAAGCCCTCACCAGTCTCCCAGACTGATTTCCCCACTCATAGACTGAAGTTCTATCCCCTGACCTTTCCATAAGCTCTGTTTTTATCACTGGAGAGCACTTACTACCTTATCACCCCAAGGGTCCATACAGCTCATACACCCCTCTCAGCACCAGGCACAGGTCTTGGACAAGTAGACACTCTCAAGATAAAGGAACAGAGGCAAAATGCATGGGGAAGAGGACAGTGTGGACCCCCCCAACTGACCACTAGTGCTTTGACCTTTTTTCCCTTTGATAGTTTTTTAATATTAGAGTTGTTAGAACTAAAGGCATTTTGCTACTTTTAAGAACTAGAAAACAGAACACACTGTCCCCTGGGAAGTTTCTCTGAAAGGGTCCCTGTGCTACATGGGGAAGGCTGACGGTTTTGGCACCATGAAGGAAACTTGGCCTCTGATGTCCAGATACACAACCAGGCAGGTGTGTTGCTGAAGGCTTTCCGAGAAGGGCACTTAAGGCATTCTCCTCTCTCAGTGGATCTGAACCTCCTTGCCTTTCTGAAGGGTCCCATCAGAAGCCCTGGCTTAACTGACATCCCTTCTGGACTGCAACTTTGCAATAAATAATCCAGAACTTTAAAAAAATGTCCATATTCTTTAGCTCCATAATTGTCCCAAGAAATGTATCCCAGGCATATGACCAGGGATGCAAAAACTCATGTTCATCACATTACTTATAGTCAGCACACATTTGTGAAATACTGTATTTCTAACAATAGGGAAATGGAATAAAATCCTGCCATCAAAAAATCCTTCTTTCAAAAAAATTGATGATGAATCCAGTCTCATCTCTCTCATGGGAAAAATACTGAAAGGAGACCTCAGATATTAGTGATCATATCCGTTCTTTATGTCCCTTTGTATTTTCTAAATTTCGGCAGTTGCCCACACTGGACACACATGCTTTAACAGAGAGGGTCAAAAGATGTGTTTCCCACCTGACTCACCCCAGGTGTTGTCTGGGCAGCCACGCTGAGTCCAGTCAGGAGCGAGTCGCATCTGGTGTCACCACACAGCTAGGAGTGGCTTTACTTTCTACACTAACATTACCACCCCCACAGGCCCCGCCTTCTGTTTTGTTTTGTTTTTTTCCATTTTTCTTTCTCATCACACCCCAGTTTGAACATTAAGGCCTGCAGGAAATTGAAAGTTGTGGTTTTATATCAAGGGCGTGTCATGTATTGTACTTACTCAGGTCTGAATACTGACAGCAAAGATCAAATAGAATCAGAACACCATGGCCCAGCTTGGTGTCCGGACTGTTTCGTGACTGGATCTGGAGTGGCATTTTGAGAAGCCCCTCTAAAAAGTTAGTTGTCCCTTGACTGGTTCCGTTTCCTCATCAGGGCAGGTAGGTCCTGATGGTAGAGCCCGGCGTGGAAATGAATGTATGCCATCCTTGCCTGGCCCCCCTCGACATAAACACAAGGCCCAGTCTGCCCGTGGGTGCTCACTTACTGACACAGCCGTGCTAAGGGCATGATTTGGGCAAGTAGAAAACGGGACAAAAATTCTAGGTAAGATATGCTCATAGCTGTCTGGAAGCAAAACACAAGCTGTGTTTCTCTATCAAGGGTTTACAGATGTCCTGAATTCCACTGCCCTCTGTTTTTTCTTCAAAAAAAAAACAATTTTTTGGCCATCCTGAGGATATGTTAATGTAACTGTAACATTCTTCCAAGTAGAAAAATCCAGAGAGGAAGCAAAGTTCTAGGCAGAGAGAACTGTGCTTCTTTATACATATATAAGGAATATGTATTAGGTATATATTTTATATATTCTGTGTAACATTTGAAGAAGCCAGTACTTTCATTTTCAGAGTAACTGAGGCACAGTTTGCAACCCAGTCTGCACAGCCCACAAATACGACCGCTTAACATGGGAGTTCATGCAAAGCCTACTATGTACACACCTGCCATCCAGGAGATGTCCAGCTGTAATCCAGAACCACACCAAGGTTTTCCCCCGTCTGACCCATTTTGATCTCATCTAATAGGTGATGTTTTGTCTTCTCCACAGAATGTGAATGGCATAAAGTACCACGCTAAGAATGGTCACAGAACGCAGATTCGTGTCCGCAAACCATTCAAATGTCGTTGTGGTAAGAGTTACAAGACAGCTCAGGGCCTGCGGCACCATACAATCAATTTCCATCCCCCGGTGTCGGCTGAGATTATCAGGAAAATGCAGCAATAACATGCTGGTCATAACTGTGCCAAGAAACCCTCACCAGCAGTTGCTGATTTTGAAAACAGCCACCTTTTTTTCAGGGGAAGCATTCAGCAACCCTTTAAAGAATTAAATGCATGCTTTAAAATTTTTTCTGTAATTTTGGAATGATGTATCTTTGTAGAGTTAATGATTTTGTACATTTTGCACATGTAATCGTCATACTCATTTTCATTACTTTGATATAAGGTGCTAAACAAAAAAAGCTCTAGGTTCTTCAGCACATTTCCCCCAAAACAATAAAATTGAGGGCATGTTGCATATTATTTAGTTGTATTGCAGTGATATCAACTGGGGGGAGGGGGCGGGGAGGGGCTGGCACTGAGATTTTTTTTTTTTCCCAAGATTGTAATGTGATTGAAGTTTTTCAACACATCAACTCACTATGTTCAAAACCAAAATAATACCTTCATTATCAAACTGGTTACCATGCCTTACATAATGGAGTTAGTATTTGTGAGTAGAAAGACTTTAGGTAATGGAAATATAAATAAGAATGTTTAACATAATATGCTAAAAATATTTTCATATTTAAATAACATACATAAAAGGTGTGCTTTCTGTGTTTTATATTATCTTGCAAATCCTTCTGCCCCTTAAAAAGCTGAAAATCTTGCCATCTGACTTACCAATCATTTTAGTGTTATAAATGGCATTTTTGTACAGAATAATCTATTCAGTTCACTCATTAATTTAACACACATTCATTGAGTGCCTGCTGGGTGCAAGGGATTGTTTATGCCTATTGATATTTCTGGACCAAGATACCAGTTTAGTGAGATACTTTTCCCTAAAATCTGTTAGAAAACACTTTGAAATACTTAAGTGCAAATTTTGTGTGTGTGAAATTTAGTTCTATCTTCATCTTTAGGTGAAGTTTTAAAGCACTTTGTAGTTCTCTATTGCCAACAGAGTTACTGTTTTATGTGTTGCCAATTCTTGCAACCACTGTCCTAACAAACTGTGGGTTGCAAATAAAATTCCAAGCACGTTTCAAAGAGAACATTTTTGTTAAGACCCCTATTGCCTCCTTTTCATGGTCATTGTGTTTTTAGACTTTTTTTTAAAGGCACATTTTCCATCACACTGTAGAGGTCTGTATTCCCACTGGAAATGTCTGTTTAGCTTTATAAAACATTTTGCTGAAATATGAAATTGAGCCTTATTGACAATTAAGTGCTTCTTGCAGCAGGTGGTCAAAGAGTGACTAATATGACCCATTAGAGTGACCTACGTCTGGACCATTCCTGAAGTTTTTCTCACCAACAATACCATCATGCCTTGAGTGTTCTTTTCTCCCAAGTGCTATTCCTTAAACATGCAAGAGTTTACCAATTGCCTCATTATGCAATAAAATTGCTCTGAGATGGCTAACTGCCCACAAAACTGGTGAAAAGCAAAGCTTGAATTGCTTCTTTCTTCCCATGTTCTCATGTGATGGAAGTCTTACAGCTGGGAAGGTGTCCCTCCCTCAATTTTTCAGACAGTTCGAAAGGTGACCGTTCTGCTGGCCAGATGGGTAAGCTTCTATATTCTTAAGTTGGGAATCCCTCATAATGAGGGATTTTAAAGTATTTATAAAGACACTGCCCTCAAAAAATTTCCTCAGATCTCTGAAGAGTGGTCTTGGTCCTGAATATACAGTGTTATCTTACATGTTCAAAAGGGTGATCCAGACATGAGAAGCAGCTAGCTGGTGCATAAGAAGGCCCCACGTGGATATTTCGTGTCCGCCTGCAATTGACCGCAATTGTTTTGGGCCGGCAGTTGTTACGTAGCTTCGCTCCTTCTAGCGCAAGAATTCAGGCTGGAGCAGTAGTTCAACAGCTAAACAGTCATAAATAGTCATTGTGCATGTTCAATTTCTTTCAACTCTAAAACAAATTCGATTTCTATTTACTTACTCATTGTGACAGTATTACTAAACAGGTAAGGACGGGAATATTTTGTTATACCGTGTATAGTGAATGTATTGTACTGTGTCTGTGAAAACTGTGCTTTAAATTATATTTTCATATGTTTTGCTGGGGACAGAGCACATTAAGTTTGAAAGCAACAGAGGTTTGTTTTAGAACTGAAGGCAACTTAATCGAAATTGCTGTCCAAAAAAGCTGCTTATAAATGTAAATGAAATCACATTTAAAATAAACTGCCTCTGACCCAAAATAAACATGGCTCTTTATTTTCATTAATGTTCGTTACCGCTCTAACACTGGAAGGATAGTTTTAAGGTTGGCATGCTCCATCATTAACTGATGCAACACAAAAATGCTACCATTGACCGTATTTTACCTGCATCTCCCAGGAACAGAAGACAGACATGGAGTCTTCAAAGGAGCCTTCCAGTCAGCCATGGCTTGTTTTGCCCTACACCAAATTATTTTTAAGGAATCCAGCAATACAAATTCTGCTTTCAGAAATAAACACAAGCAAGATGATGTGTATGCAGTCCACACACAGCACACTGAAACACCGCCACACTGCATATTAGGTTAACATCCAAGCTTATTTGCTTAAGACAAAGCTTAAATATTTGGGTAACTACAAAAGCAGCAAAATCAAAGTCAGTAAATTCTTAACATTCATATTTTAAGAGAAATACCATTCAGAAATTTGTTTAAAGGCCCAGACTAAGGGGAAAAAAGTTCAGACTTAATGAAAAGCTATCGCAAATAAATCTGACAACCAAATTACACATCTCCAAAAAAATGTGTCCTCTTTAATGTTAATGAGAATACTATACAGAGATATAACACATTGATTTGTGTTTATACATCACATTTTTAATCAAGAAAATGTGAAAAAGATATGGATACATTTTCTGTGATTTTATGCCACCAACACCACCATTTAGTAGATCATTTAGTATGAAACAATTGCACTAACCTATCTTGTTCCATTTTCCCATTAGGTAGAAATACAACTTCAAGATGGCTTAAAAATAATTATTCAGGTCATTCTAAAATGTTTTAGTCATAAAATTAGCAAAATATGCCTTCTAATCCTAAAGCAACATTTTAAATATAAAAAGGTATGTGCTATACTGCAAGCATGTGAGCTCATTCTACATGCATTTCCATTTCTAAAGAAAGTGAAAAAACCATCCTTTCACGGGCTAAATTATGGAAGCTTCTGTATTCAACGAATTTGCAAGACTAATGATGAATTACTTTTGTTACATAATATTTAGTAGTCATGCTCAATCAACGAGGTCAACAGAAACTTCTAAATATGCTAAATGACACACTACATATATATTTTTTCAGCCTGTAACATTAAAATAATCCATCTCCTTTATTCATATACTTTTGCAAATGGGAATAAATAAAGATACAAACACAGAAAAACTTTTCTTAAGCTGGTAAAATTAACAGGGGTTACAATTTTATTTACTGATAAGCTACAGACAGACCCTGACCCTAGTAACAAACATGAAACTCAAAAGTAGCACTTGTTCAAAAAAGAATGGCAGAGAGAGGGTGTGCGGAAATGATACCTTGTGGTCTCCATAGTGGTCTATTTGAGGTGATTTTTTTTTTTAATTGCTAAATTGTATTACTAACTCAGAATAAAAAGTAACTAGTCAAAATTTAAAACATTCTGATCAAAATGGGTCTGCACATGCCTTTCAAAGCCCTGCTGGTCATAGTCAGGAGGGAACTGCTCGCTGCACATGGGGCACACCTTCCAGTGACTTTCAACGTGTTCTTCAAATTTGCTCTGATCATAGTTGGGAGGGAACATTAATTCACAGAGGGGACACTTCTTGTGAACATCAAAGCTTCAAGAAATAGGAAAATGAAAGAATTACATTATTTCTAATAAGTAAAATTTCTAATAGCAGTATCCTCAAGATAAGATGTTATATTTTTCTAGTAACTCACCCTAAATAACTTAGCTTGAAAGTCTTCATTTACTTCAGAAACCTCTTTCTGCTTCTAAAATACTTGCTACTGACAATTGTGTAAACCACTGATAAAGCCTCTAAATTGAGTTTCACAATTAAAGTAACAAAAACATTTTCATTAAAATCCCCAAAAATGCAAGCATTATTACATAAAATGAAGGTTATTAACAAGAATTCCTCAATTTTTAATTAACAGAAAATACCTTCTGTAAAACTAGAAAGATAAACGGAACTTCGTATCTCCCAACAGTGTATTCATTTGAGCTTAACAACTGCAAGTATTGATTAGCACCAGTTCTCAAAGTACCGCATCCATCAGCATCATCGAGAACATGTGTTAAAACAGATTACTGCTGGAATGCCTGGGTGGCTAGTAGGTTAGGTGTTTGCCTTTGGCTCAGGCGGTCACCTCAGGGTCCTGGGATAGAGTCCCCAAGGTCAAGCTCCCTGCTCAGCCAGGAGTCTGCTTCTCCCTCTCCCTCAGTCCCTACCCCCTGCTCATGCTCTCTCTTAAAAGGAAAAAAAAAAAAAGAAAGTACACATTGTTGGGACCCACACCAAGAGTTTCAGGTTCAGGAGGTCTGGGGTACAGCCTGATCATATGCATTTCTAATAAGTTTCCAGGGACCATACTTTGAGAACCACTCATCTACATAATCCAAATTCTACACAGGAAAGAAAAAAATTACCTGGAATCAAAGCAAAAGCCTGTTCCATGCCCACGTAAATGCTGACTTGGAGGATCAGGAGCACTGGGCACATTCTCCTCTTCCTAGGCAAAGAATAATTTTGCAACTTTTGAGGAACGTTGAAACAATATAAATTGTTGAATTTAACAATATAAACGTTGAAACAATATAAATACAAAATAAAAGGAATTAAGAATTACCCTTTCTAAAATTTTACAAAAGTAATCAGATTTTCACATAAAGGTATAAAAGTCAATTTTTACAGAGCGTTTCACAATGCACTGAGTCTTACCTTCTTGAAAAAAAAAAAAGCAGTACTTAGTGGAACTGAGACTACACCACACCTGTATGTGTGAATAAAGTATGGATCTATAGACTTTTTGAACCTCTATATAGGTAACCTTTTGACCTTATCATTCCATACAGTAGGTGACCACTTTCATAAAAATCTTAAAACTGCATTATTTTTCCTATTATTCTCATTCAATAAATTTTGCAAGACAGTATTCCTCTTTTGACAACATACATCCCACTGCATGACATACAGCAATTTTTAAAAGAAAACTAGTAAAATATGAGTTTGCATGTATATGTTCTTGGGCACACAGGCTAATCAAGCTGGAAAACCATGTTAAAGCAAAGCAATGTACCAACTACAGGGTTCAAAACCCTGTTGTGAAAGAATGAAATTCAGTATTAAATATCTGACTAACAGATTGTCCAGTAAGAGTCCTAAAAACCTATATAAATCACATCCCTGTGGTCACTTTAAAAAAAAAAAAAAAAAGTAGGCTCCACATCCGATGTGGACCCCAACATGGGACTTGACTCACGACCTAGAGATCAAGACCTGAGCTGAGATGAGAAGCCGGATACCTAACCAACTGAGCCAACCAGACACCTGCCCCACTGTGGTCACTTTTTAGAGATCTGTATGCTCTCAATAGCCAAATACAGACTCACTTCACATCAAGAGCAGTCACATCTCCCAAAAGCCCATCTGCTTTATTCCTGAGCAGTTCTGTTAGCTGCTCTGTTATGAACCAACAGTCTGTAAAGAGATCAGCAGGCATACAGGGACTGATGGAAGTCCCTATATGGCCAGGTAGTTATGCTTATTCCAGAGCTGCTATTAATGGGCTAAGTAGTCAAGTCTGTCATGTAAGAGGTACTAAGAAAATGTATGTGGTGTGAAATTCAAATGAACCAAAAGACAAACTGATTTATCTTGCTGGGGAGCAGAAGGTAGGGGAGGTTACTTGGCTATTATTTTGATGATTATCCCTTCCTGAAAGGTCCAAGAAAGGGTAGGGCCTCTTTTTTATTTTGTATTTATCACATAAGAAAATATTTTTGCTTACATAGGATTCCCTCCTAAATAACCCACTATGTACATATTTTTTCAGTGTGGTAACATTATAATAATTCCTGTTTCCTTTACTTAGTTTTGCAAACTGGGAAACAGAGTTTTAAAAAAAACCCTTCTAATCTTCAGTAAAATTAAAAGAGGTTACAACTCTTTTTATTGATAAACTAAAGACTGACCCTGACCCTAATTAACACCAAACTCAAAATAGCTCTTGGTCAGTGAAGTATGGTAGAGGGGTGCCTGGATAGCTCAGTCATTAAGCATCTCCCTTTGGCTCAGGTCATGATTTCATGGTACTGGGGATTGAGCCCATATCAGGCTCCCTCCCTGTTTCTCTCTCCCTCTACCACTCCCCTTGCTTGTGTTCTCTCTCTAGATACCTGTCAAATAAATAAAATCTTTTAAAAATTACTTATTTATTTGAGAGAGAGAGAGAGAGAGAGAATGAGAGAGAGGGAGCATGAGGGGAGAGGTCAGGAGCAGACCCCCTGCTGAGCAGGGAGCCCGATGCCAGGACTCAATCCCAGGACTCCAGAATCATGACCTGAACCAAAGGTAGTTGCTTAAACAACTGAGCCACCCAGGTACCCCTAAATAAATAAAATCTTAAGAAGTGTGGTAGAGGGTACATGGAAGTGATACCTTGTGGTCTCCATCATGGCCTATTTGAGGTGATTTTTTCTTTAACTGCTAAACTGTACTACTAACAATAAAAACCAGTCAAAATTTAAAACATTCTGATCACAAAGAGTCTGTACATCAAGAGGAAACTACTCGCTGCACAGAAACAAGATAGGTAACTAGCCTAATAAGGGACTGAAAAACTGGGGAATAGAAGACTTCATACTTAAAGAATTAAGTCTACAAAATAACTAAAATTAAGAGTGGTTTTAAGTCTGTAGGTACAAAGAGGTAAGACGATCTAGTTGAATCAGCTAAACCTATTATGTTGACAATAAATTGTTGATTCTGTGCCACAGTATTCTAGCTGCCAGATTGGGCCTTCCAGCAGCAATACTTGAAACAATGAATTTGCTTAAAGAACTACATATAAAGTAATGACAATGAATACAATTTCCTTATTTATGTCTGAGAAAGAACAAATTTTAGAATTCTGAAATGCTATCGAAAAGAATAATGGAAAAGAAAAGAAAGGTCTTAGGGCGCCTGGGTGGCTCAGTGGTTGAAGCCTCTGCCTTCAGCTCAGGTCATCATCTCAGGGTCCTAGGATCCATCGGGCTCTCTGCTCAGCAGGGAGCCTGCTTCCTCCTCTCTCTGCCTGCCTCTCTGCCTACTTGTGATCTCTGTCAAATAAATACATAAAATCTTTAAAAAAAAAGAAAAGAAAAGAAAGGTCTTGATGCTTAACTATCAAAACTCTTGATGACAGATACTCGTAATAAAACTCCACTTTCCAGGGACGAAAAATATAGCCTACCCCAATTTACTGCTTCCATGAATCAGCTAACAACAGAGTTTGCTGCTAAACTCTAGACTTAAATGAACCTAACATATTAACGATCAGGGGGAAAGGAGGAAGAAACTCATTTTTTTTGCCTTTATACTTTCTAAGCCATATACAATTTGGTAATGTTAACCCCATAATTCTGTACCTTCTACTACCTAATACCTAATAAAAGGGGAGAGGGACTCAACAGAATTCTAAATGATAGAAGTAAGTGCTCATGAAATAAGAGATCACCTACTCAGTTTAAAACCATAAACTGTCATAAGTTCTCTGAGTAGCCAATTCATATAAAGTCTCATTTTGTGTGTGTGTGTGTGTGTGTGTGTGTGTGCGCGCGCGCGCGCACGCACACACACACACACACACACACACACTTAAAAACAAGAAAGCAGGGACACCTGGGTGGCTCAGTCAGTTAAGTGTCTGCCTTCAGCTCAGGTCATGATCCCGGGGTCCTGGGATGGAGTCCCAGGCCACCCTGTCAGCGGACAGCCTGCTTCGCTTGTTCCCTCTGCCTGTTGCTTCCCCCTGCTTCTGCTCTGTCTAATTAATAAATAAATAAATAAATAAATAAATAAAATCTTTTAAAAAAGAGAGAAAGCAGGCTTCCAACAAAGATGCAGTGTAGGAGGACCCTATATTCACCTTGCCCCAGGCTAGATAACATGTCAGTGCAAATAACCCAAAAAACAACTTCAAGACTGGCAGAACAAACTCCAAAACAAAATGGAGAGAAAGGCTACACAGGAGATGGCAGGAAGAGCAGAGATGTGGTGGTGAGCTCAACCTGCAGGTCTGCCTACCAGAGGGAGCCACCGGAACAGAGACGTGTAAGAAACAACTATCAACACCAGGGGCCTACGAAGAGAAGATGAATCCCCACAGCATTTGGCTCTGAATATTAGATGAGCCAAATTTCATGAATTCTTAAAACCAGTGGGGACCTCAATCCTCTGGAACTTTAAAAATCAGGGGCGCCTGGGTGGCTCAGTGGGTTAAGCTGCTGCCTTCGGCTCAGGTCATGATCTCAGAGTCCTGGGATCGAGTCCCGCATCGGGCTCTCGGCTCAGCAGGGAGCCTGCTTCCTCCTGTCTCTCTGCCTGCCTCTCTGCCTGCTTGTGATCTCTGTCAAATAAATAAATAAAATCTTAAAAAAAAAAAAAAAAATCAGCAGGCTCAATATGATAAAGCCCAGAGGGCAAGAGGAAGCCAAGTCCCTGTCCTTAATGAAACAGCGTAGGGAACAGCTCACAGAGATAGAACTTGCAGCAGCAGCAGCTTGAAGAGTCCTTTGGGGGCACAGAGGAGGGAGAGTTAGTTGCTAACGTCAGAGTTCACTAAAGAACTTCTCTAGGAACAAAGGATCTGACAGGTGCTGTTTCTCTCCCCCACCAGCTCTCCCAGCACAATCACACGGCCACCTGTGGGAACCAGCAGGGAATCAGCACTCACGAACTTGCGTACACCATGCCCCAATCGCTCCAGCCAGGACTGCTCTAGTTCCAGGGCTATGGCTCCCCTCCCTAAGACAACCTATGCAAACCCTGCCAACACTGTCTCACCCGAACTCCAGTAGAGGACGCACACACAGTTAAAACTGCACCACCTCCACCCATACACGCTTTGCACAGCAGCCCTGTGGAAGCTACACCTCCCCTGTGCAAGAGGACCAACACATACAACTTGCACACCTGCCTGCCTGCACTTTGGGGAGCAGCCACAGCCAGCCAGCCCTATCTTAGCAGTGGCTGCTCATCCCCTGTGGAAGAGGACCAGCACCCAACTTGTTAAAAGAGCCCACTACTTTCAGAACAAGAGACATAACTGACTTTTCTAAAATACAGAAACAGAGTTAGGCAAAATGAAAAGACAGTAGGAATATGTCCCAAATGAAAGAATAGGGCAAAAATCACAACAGAGGACCTAAGTGAAGCAGCAAGAAGTAATATGTCTGATAGAAAATCTAAAGTACTGGGGTGCCTGGGTGGCTCAGTGGGTTAAAGCCTCTGCCTTCGGCTCAGGTCATGGTCCCAGGGTCCTGGGATCGAGCCCCACATCGGGCTCTCTGCTCAGCAGGGAGCCTGCTTCCTCCTCTCTCTCTCTCTGCCTATCTGTGATCTCTGTCTGTCAAATAAATAAATAAAATCTTAAAAAAAAAAATCTTAAGTACTGATCATCAAGATACTCACTGGACCTCAGGCAAGAGTAGAAAACATGAGTGAGACCCTTAACACCGAGATAAAAAA